TAAAATAATTAGTTTTAAAAAGCACACAAAATTAAAGCTTCGAACATTGTATTTACAAATCAATCGAAATTTTAAAAATATGTATGGAAAACTTTAATAAAGAAATTCAAACATGAGAATATTTAACATACATTTTCAAAGTAATTTCTTTTAACAAAACAATCAAATTAGAAAAAAAAATTGAACCACATTTAGCATACAAAATAATCAAATAAGTTCTAAAAGGTATTTCATAATGATAATTTAATGTTTCAAGTTAATCACTATACTTTCAAGATCAATAGACAAAAAGACCTTTAACTCATAGAAAAAAAATTATTGATACATTTCGTAAAAAATTTAATAACCACTTCATATACTACAACAGGATTCTTTTTAATCTTTTATGTGATTCAAAGCAAAGTTTCAGATTTTAAACTTAAGTGATCTTAAATGCAAGCTAAATAAAGAATTTAACTGTAATTCCAAAACTATAGTTTTTAAAACATCAATATAGATAATAATAATTCAATAATCTAATGTATTCATGAAAAAAATCATACTTCCTCGCGCAATGACAATTTAGTTGTATAACAAGAGAGTTATTAAATTTTTATATTGGAACAAAATTAACAGTGACATCATACCCAATCATCGGATGAGTTTTAACGAGTTCTTTCCAATCTTCTCTAGGAACAATTTTTTTGATGTGATTGACCGCAAAATTTATCGCAACAGTTTTTAAGTCAGAATTGGAAAAGCTGTAGGCCAGTTTGAGTATTTCACACACTAAGTCCACAGATAGGCAAGAAATTACTGCATCAGTACACTCAACCTTTAAGAATCCAACATCATATTTATCAACTAAGTAATAAAGTTCTTTCAGAGAATCCCATGACTGGTTTTCAAGCTCGCCACCATACAAAGATCTGAGAAACAATTCAAAAACTTCAGGAACAGCATCCGTAATGGTAAAGCTGTTGGTCTTGGATTCCATGAAATCATTGGTCATCATTTTCATAAAAACAGGAGAATGAGCAGCAAGGATGTTTTTGTGAACAGGAAAGGATTTATCGCCTACTTTGATATCAAAATCAGTCAACACACTTTGCTCGTAAATTGATTTCAGATTCTTTATAACATCAACACATTTGCATGATTTCCTTTCATTACCTGTTGGGATACGTAATGTTTGATCCTGATCCAAAATTGTCATTTTGCATTTTGCAATTAAAGTTCTATTTCTCATTTTTTGAAAATGTTGAGATGGGAAGCTATTTTCAAACTTAGCTCGAATTACGTCTTTAAAAGAAACGTAATTCATTCCATCATTTAAAACCGTGCTTGGATATTCTTTAAAAATAGATCCATCTAAATATTTCACGACAACCAACACTTTTAATGTTGGTGAGATTCCAACATTAGAGAGTTTTACGAGTTTCAGTTTGAATAAATACGTCAAGTTTACTTCTTGATACGATGCTTCGAAACGAAATTTTAGATTTTTACCAGAGAATGGCACAAAAGTTGGTGTCACAATAGTCATGAAATCAATAGGATGAGCAAGTGTAGATATTGTCCATTCACCTTCGTATTCATTCTTAGCCATATTGGTATAAAAGTTTTGATACCAATATTTGAACGAAACAACTTACGAACAAATTGATACACATATAGCGAAATTTCAAAAGAAGAGTAACTGTATTTTTTAAGACAAAGGTAATTATAAATGCTGATTCACCCGGTGATGAAGTTATCTTACAGAACAGCAGATAGCTCGTCAAGGTTAATAGCGAGTAGCCTGTGTGTAATGCTACCACTTCTATGGATGGAATTAAAACTGAAACAGTATTCAGCGTTGTGGCGTCACATTATTTGCGACGTCACGCTGTGACGTTACTTTATCACAAATTTTAAGTGCATTTCATTTCTCGACTCGGAATTGGAAATTGCAATTACATAAATTTTCAGGCTTGTGTGCTCAAAATAGGCTTATAAACTTTCGTCAAGTAGATTGTTGTTGTTGTTGTTAATTTACGTCGCACTAGAGCTGCACAATGGGCTATTGGCGACGGTCTGGGAAACATCCCGGAGGATGATCCGAAGACATGCCATCACAATTTTGATCCTCTGCGGAGGGGATGACACCCCCGCTTCGGTAGCCCGACGACCTGCGCAAGAAGTCGAGCACTTTACGGTAGCACAGTTTAACGAGGACCAATACCGCACACCCTCGGTCCCTACGCAGACTGATCCAAGTGGTCACCCACCCGCACACTGACCGCAGCCAGTGATGCTTGACTTCGGTGATCTGCTAGGAACCGTGTCTTAACGATCAGTCCACTGCGGGACCTTCGTCAAGTAGAAGAGGACAGATAGCACAATAGGAGAGACAGTACCAAGTTGTTCTCGACTCGTCTTTCATCTCATTTTCTCGCTAGTAAAAAAGAGCCAATAAATTTCTTTGTTTTCACTTAAAATTTGACACATGATGGATAAAATTAACAATAAACAATGCATTTAAAAACGATTTATTTAATCAAGCCCTTTAAATGTTACACGCATAGTTCAGAAAGTTTCTGTTTTACAACTAGTGTTCTACAAATATTTTTACCGGAACTAATTGAATAAAGGCAAAGTTGGATACCAGATCAGGTGATGTCCATGTTGCCTAAGTAGGGTAAAAATTATGTGATATGTATCACAGCTTGTAAGGTATCAATAAAATTAGTAAAAATATCTAAATACTAGTGGGCTGCCCCCCCCCTCTCGCTAACGCTCGCCAACCCCCGAAAATGTTCGCAATCTTATATGGTTTGCTTCGCAAACCAAGCTCGCTTCGCTCTCTTCTAACTTGGTACATTGCAAATGCACAAATTTCTAAGAATTCAAAACAATCATTCAAATCAGTATAACAACTTTTTTTTTATTTTTAAAAATTGTATCTTTTTAGTAAATACTGAGTCATTAAAATAAATTTGAATTCAAATAAATGATAAACCTCTTTAGAAATGTGCTATAGTATAAAATCTTAAGATAAAATTTCTAAAACTGATATCTCTTTAAAAAGGTTAAAATTTTGGCTATAATTAAGTCTATTAAAAATTGAAATAAGTGAATTGCAATGGAAAAACCTGCATAAACAAAACATTATGTTTTTAAAAAATAATAACCATGAACGATTCACAACTTTGTTAAAAACATAAGTATAAGTCTTAGAATAAATTCGTGATATAAATCAAAAATCGTCAAATAAATTCGTAATATATAAATGTGTGAAAAAAAGCGCGCTTTTGACAAAATACTAAAATAGATATCTATCAACAAAGACTACTCATTTCTGCCTAGCTTAATAGTATGAGGTTGGTTATTTCAGTTCTCTTTGATTATTTCAGTTTCCGTTTTTAAAAGAGCTATATGTTTAGCCACCTCAGCTAGATTTGGCATGTGACATTTTTAGCGGCAATCATTGGTCGATTTTCTAGTGTTGCTATTCGGGGAGTTGTAATGAGTCTTTTTTTGTCGCCGTGTAAGAGAAATATATATATAGATATCTAAATATTTGTCTTGGTTGGGATATTATTCATTCATTATATCGCATATAAATGCAAGTTTCTATAATTATTGCAAAGTAGTGTTATTAAGTCTTTTAAATTTTTTTATTACTTCAGATATACGTGAAGGACTGTTTGCTAATTACAAAGTTCATTTTTTAAATACGAAAAAACGAAACAAAAAGAAAGCAGAAAAAACAATTTTCTGTTAATTTTTCGAGATTGTTTTTCCTCCAATATATTTGGTAAGGTTTACTTTTTTTTATGTAACTTCGCTTCAATCAAAGTGGATCTATTCGCATCGCTATCGCATCACTGCATAACATATAACATTAATTTTATTTTTATTTTAAATTTTCTTAATAATAGAAGAGCATAATATATTTTGAAATCTAAGCATAATTGCATTTCATATCAATCATTTTAACTAATATTTACCATGTTGTTGCTTATTTATTTATTTTAGTAAACGTAACATGAAACCAATGTCACTAGCCTGATTACCTTCATGTAAAATAATAATATATTATAGGCATGGTATATAAATTAATTCCTTTATCCTAGTTAATTTTTTTTTCAAGAAATTAACGCTTTATTGGGAAATTTTAACGTTCAATTTTAATAAATATCCGTGTTAAAGCCCGGGATAGCCTGGTAGGTAGGGCACTGGGCCCATGTCCAAGAAGTCGTGGGTTCGATCCTCGTCGGACGAAGACTCCCCGTATAGTAAATGGTGACTGATACACATTAAATCTGTCGAGTCTCAAAGTCCTCCATGTTTCCATATATATCTTTGGGGGTACTGATCTAGGAGTTTCCTTGTCTTCTGGATTGTGTTCAAAATTACAAGGCTACATTTGTATTCGTAAACCAAAAATGGGGTCTGCTGTTCAACGACGGTTATAAAATAAAATATCGGTTTTAGGAGCCTTGGTAGCTCAGGGGAACGAACACTATACTACAATTAGTTTTCGTAAGAAACCGTCAATATATTTAATGCTTCAAAACTAGCTCAAAGCTTCAATAAAGTGCGACGATTTACCAATATACAGGCATGACCATATATGGCAGGTACAAGTAAAAAGTACGTACTTTTACTTGTACTTTCGTTACTTTTTTAGGGAAAAAGTACAAGTATTTGTCACGGAAATGTCGAATCGTTACTTTTTTCTGAGAAATTCTCACAACAGACTCAGTGACACCACTTTCGAAATGCAATTATTTTGCAAAATGAATAAAAATATTAATTAGCAAGTTATTTTTATTCATTTTCGAGACTTATGCATTTATTTAATACATTTTAAATAAAAAATGTTGGATTTCGTTATTACGTTTTTCAATTTTCTTTTTGAACGCACTAATAATACATTTTTGTCTTAATACATTTTTTACTAAATAACAATAGCCAACAATAAGGAAGTTACTTCATTATTTTGATCAATCATAATTGTTTAAATAACAAAGAATGTTGCAGTATTGATAGACCGTCGACGTTTTTGAAAATAGATCAAACTTAGTTCATTACTTTTATAAATACTAGCTCATGAATCACTAGTGGGAGCTTCTTGTGACTTAAGAGGGCTAAATATTTGAGCAATATTTTGGAATTTATTAACAGAGAAACTTGGCAATTGAACCTTTCTTTTCTCGCTTTCACTTTTAAAATCCTCAAAAAAATTATTACTTATCTTTTTTGTTTCTATACAATTTAACCAAGTGCAAAAAATAAATGGCGACGTCAAAAATGGATGTCATTGGTATGGTACCTTGAACTACCGGAGAATGTGACCTCACAATAGAAATACTTTTTCTTTTCATAAATTTTTCATGAAATGTTCATACTTAAACTTTTAAATGATTTCTTATGTTAAGAAAATAAGTTAATAAAAATAGTTTCATAAAAATCAATCGGTGGTTCAATTTCTGATCCGCGGGTCGTAAGATCACCACTACTCTACTAGACTTATGTGTAAGAGCAAGATAATAATTTAGTGAACATACCAAACCGGTGTGTTTGCTAAACACGCTAATCCGAACCGCGTTGGCTTAAGGGATGGGGCGTTTGCCTCTCAATGAGGTGACCCAGGTTCAAGTCCAAACGGTGACTGGTCGATAAGAACTCTGCTCCCGGCTAGCAAGAATTACAGTTTTGACGTAAAATTATCCTCAGTGGTAGACGGATCCTAGGTTAACAAAGCCTGCTCTAAGAATTTCAAATTATTAGCCAAATATCAAAAGTATTCGCCAAGTCTTTGCCAAATGCAAATCTTAACAATTTTTTTATGTTTAGTATTTTGTACCACAAAAAACAATTTTACAGTAGTTTGTTTCCGGTTTATATTATTTGGACCCAATTCTAATTGGTCATGCGGCGCATCTACCGAAGATTACTGTAATTGAATAAAATATACTGATTTGTTTAAAAAAAAAATTTTTTTTTCACGTAATTTTGAGGATTGAGTTAAATATTTTTTTTTTGTCCGAAGGAAAAAATCATTCATCAATACTTTTCTGAAACACAATTTTATTCAACAAATTTTCAATTTTGCAGCATTTGGGAAGAGGGCGAATGATTATCGAAGGCTCTTTGTTAGTATCCTCCTGCAGTCGACCTTACTTTATTCGAGGCTTTAATTATTTTCCTCTCCATGTAACGGAAATGCGAGTTTGTTACATCAAAAAGTTCTCCTCCAAGGCTAGTTTATTCAAATGCTTGATCGAAAAGTTCCCTTGTCTTCTGGGTCGGGTTCTTATTTGCAAGGTAGTGAGTTGAACATTGATAATTATAAATTCATAATTGAATCGGATGTTCAACGCCGTTTATAAAACGAATAAAAAAAGCACTAATAAAATTTTTTTATTTTTTGTTATTATTATAATTTGTTTATATCAATAAAAACTAAAATGCATATTTAGCAATAGTAATACGCAATATTTGTAATTTATGATAATTTGATATCGTACCTGAAATATTACTAGTAGCATTACAAATAATTATTAACATCCTTTACGAAGCGTATTATAAAAAAATACAATATTTCTTTTCTTGAACTATAATTGTAAAGCACAGCTAAAAAAAAGTGAACTAATTTAGTAAATAAACATTTTAGAAAACTTTTCATAAACTAAAATTTTCAAACCATTATTTTCAAATTTTCAAAAAAATTTATTAATTTAAACATTGTATATACAAATACAATTACACAAATTAAAGCTTCGAACATTGTACTTAAAAATCAGTCGAAGATAAGAATATTGAATATACAATTATGAAGTCATTTCTTTTAACAAAACAATCAAATTTGAAAAAAATTATTCTGAGATATTTAGCATACAAAGTAATCATCTATCTTTTAGAAATTTTTAAAAGTATTTCTTGATAATTTAAGTTTTCAAGTTAATCACTATACAAAAAGACATGTAACTTATTATATAAAAAAAAATAATTGATGCATTTCGTAACAAAATTAATAACCACTTCATATCCTACAATAGGATGCACTGCAATTAAATCTTTTTAATGTGGTCATTTCAGGAAATTTACAAAGACATTAACGTTATTGCTTTTCTTTCTAAATTATTAATTTTCTTGCAAATAATTTTGTTCAAAATACTGAAATTAATGGTAATATACGAAATTAATTTTCTGCTGCATAACTTTACAACATATAACTAACTATACATGCATACATTCTAAATATAACTATAACTGCAACATAAATTCTATTCTTGTTTCCATAACAGCAGATGGCCTCAGACTTTGAGGAGGGAGTCCTTAGCATAGACAAACTGTAGGTAGGTGCATTATTTAAGTCGCAGTGGAGCTTCACAATGGGCTATTGGCGACGGTATGGGAAACATCCTTGAGGATGATCCGAAGACATGCCATCGCAATTTTGATCCTTTGCAGAAGAGATGACTCCCCTGCTTTGGTGGCCCGATGACCTGAGCGTGAAGTTGAGCACTTTACGGTGAAATAGTTTAACGAGGATCGATACCGAACACCCTCGATACCTACGCAGTCTGATTGAAGTGGTCACCCACCCACTTACTGACTGATACCAGTAATGTTTGACTTCAGTGTTCTACTGGGAACCGTGTCTTTACGATCAGTTCACTGCCGGGCAGCAAAATTTACAGAGATGACTATGTAAAAATTAGCGAAACAAGCTCCAGTTAATTTGAAACAGAACCAATGGTAAAAAGCGTTTTGTTTGTGTTAAAAGTGAGAACGTGATTTTATCATATTGTTAAGGTATGACTTTTGCAAAACGATTAATGAAAAAGTAAAGTTTATTTAAACTAGAAATAACACTTGAAAAATTGTGAAACAGGATTTTTATAAAAGATGAACTACAATACAGAGAAAAATCAAATCTATGAAATTAATACAGGAGTAATTATTTTAAAATAGTTTTAATTCATGATTTATTATTATTTTGTTCTTGCAATACAGGCTATTTTTGTAAGCTTTTAAATAATTAAATTTTACGTAAGTAAAATGACACTTTTTCCAAAGAGCTATATTGTATATATTTTTAAAACTTACTTTATAAACTAACATCATTTGTTAGAAGTCCGAAATAACATAATATTCTAGACGTAGTTGTAAAGAATACAAGATTCAGAGTAAAAAACATTCAATCAATAGAAAAAATACCTTTGAAGTAAGATTATTTTTATAAAATACGTTTGCCAAGCTCTATTTTGTGTATTGTACTGATTTGTCAAACTTATTTGAATATTAGTTTAATATCAAGATATGTCAAAAAGAAAACAAAATACTTTTTAAATGAAGAAGTATGCATGGCATTGATGGTTATTCTTATTTTTCATTATGCTTAAACAAAATTATACATTATTAGCAATTTGAAAAACAGAGAAATTGTTTATGGTATTATTCAATGTAAAAAATATATATATTTCAAGTTCCTATTACATTTTATTTTCTTATATAAAAACAGAAATTACTGTAAATTTCTTATTCTTAATTTTGAAATTTTACAATACAGATTCCGTCTATTTATTTCCTTATATTGGATTAGATAGGTATATAAATGTAAGTATTTTTAATCATAAAAATAATTAAAATTTTATACAATTTATGTCAGAATAAAAATTAATATATAACTCACTCAAGCATTTTTTAATTTTCAAAAAAAAAGTATTATTCTAGCTCCAAACTGTTTATTTCATAAAATAAAACCTATTTTTTATTTAAAAGAAATATGTATAATTCAAATTCCATACAATTTATATAATAATGAAATAATTTTGAATTTTGATTTGAGTGTTTAAATGGAATTTAAACCACTTAATTTAATTCGAATTTTTTTTTGTAAAAACAATTAATGATTTTGATATATTGAAAATTTTAATTATAAATTTTATTCCCTTTAACTATGAATTTTATTCATTTTAATTTAAATATCGAATATAGTTTGACAACTAATTAAAACTTTTCAATTGGTTTATATCCACTTCAAGTTTTAATAATTATACTTTAAGAAAAGAACAAGAAAAAAATGACAAATTCCATTACTTACAATATATATTTATTCTTTTATCCAAGATTTGAAAGAAAAAATAAGCCTTTCAATATAAATCCATCAAAGAACGTAGCTAATAGCAGCTTCATATCCTGCAAGTGGATGTTTTGCAATCAGCTCTTTCCATTGTTTTGTTGGCAAAAGTTTTCTCAAGTGAATTGCAGCAAAACCTACCGCTTCTCTCCTTATTTTGTCATCATCATAATCGAAGGCAAGATTTAGAATGTCACAGACATTTTCAAGAGATATTTGAGAACTAATTATTTCCGCGGTAAGTTGTTTCAAACTTAAAACGTCGTATTTATCAGCTAAAGAATAAAGTTCCCTTGCAGTGGGCCAAGATTTATCTTCGATTTCACCACTGTACAGGTATTGAAGAAAGCATTCGAATACTTCGTAAGTAGAATCGGCGATTGTTATGGTATTTGTCAAGGATTCTTTGAAATCATGACTTAACATGTTCCTGAAAACAGGAGAATGCCCAGCCAGGACAGCTTTGTGGACAGGAAGCGACTTCTCACCAATATTAATGCTGATATCACTCAATTCACCAAACTTCTGAAGAGATTTGAAGTTCGCAGCAAAGTGTTTCAAATGGTTGGAAAAGCTTAGTTCTTTGTAGTAAGATGGAGGAGAATGGATGTGGTTAAAAAATTCCATTTCACATTGTATTATAAAGGAATGCTTGTTTACTAATTTACCCATGTTTTCTCTTTTAGTATAGTAGGAAGTTAATACATCATCAAAAACGACCGACTTCATTTCATCAGTTGTCAAAGCTGGTAATAATTTGTATCTGTGTAAAAGGGAACGATCTATAAAGATTAGATCAACATTCAGTTTTAATTTCATGGTTTTCGGTAGATCAGATGCGCACAAAGTTAGCAATTTCAGTTTGAGTAATATAAATTCATCTCCGCGTACCGTGACATCGGAATTTATATTATAATGCATATAACTTATTTCGAAACAAAATTCGAGATTGATATTCGGCATTGGACAAAATGGCGTTGTTCGTAAAGAGTGACTTTTCAGAGTATGAAGGTTCGATAATTTAAACTCACCTCTGTAATGCTGAGCCACTAAGTTTGTTGACACAATACTTTCAGCAGACATAATGAGAAAGGAAGTAAAACAGGAATTTAAACTTATAGTTTCTTGAATATGTAATTGTATAGATAATAACTCTGAGAATGATTTAAGCTACCTTTCTCACCGCAGAAGTTCAGCTGTTGGATAAGAGCTTTGTTTTCAAATAGCAGCGAAGTAATAATAGTGAAATACTGTGCTACTTTCACCAAAGAATAAACTTATTAGAAATTTTTTTATGAAAGATCCCACCGTTGATAAGTAGCTAAAGAGTTAGATAAAACTCTTTGCTTTTCCTTGCAGGAATCAGATATTTTCCCATGGTTACTATGCAACAGGCTTGTCTGGGGAGAAAAAAAATTATCTTATTTTTCAGTACCTGGTACGCGAAGATATAAGCTCAGTAACAATGTAAACTGGTCATTTAACACTAGATTGCCTAAGAAAGTTATTTTCACTTCAGTTAATTTCAATTATAAAAAGAATGATGTATATAATGACTCAATTACTTAGAATTTTGTACAATATATAATTTTATATATTGTTAATATTTACTAATAACTTGTTATATAACTGCAAATAATATAAAAAATACTAAAAATTAATTTTAAACAAATCTCTTTACACGTTATTTATTCTTTTACAATGCAGTCATTTTGGCTGCTTTTGGGCAATTTAGGTGTATACTAAATTTCAGTCTTTCTAGAGCTAAAGGGGGGGGGGGACTCGGAATTTTTGATGTGCCATGTCTTTAAGTAATTTTAATTTCCGAAATAAAATTCCAAACAATATTTTTAAGCATTCAAATTAATTTGCTATGTGTTGTTACTATATGTAGTATGCGACGCCGCGATGGCTCAAGGGATAGAGCGTTCGCCTTCCAATGAGGTGAACCGGGGTTCGATCCCGGTGACGTCTGGTCGATACGAATTCCGCATCCGATTTGCGCCGATCATAGTGCTGACATGAAATATCCCCAGTGGTAGACGTATCAGGAGCTAGAGTCCCCTTGCAATCAGACTTACCGTGGGAGGTTCTCATGATCTTCCTCTCCATGCAACGCAAATGCGGGTTAGTTCCCTCAAAAAGTCCTCCACAAAGGCAAATTTCTCCCAATACTTGATACAGGAGTTCTCTTGTCTTCTGGATTGGGTTCAAAATTACAAGGCTATGGAGTTGATCATTAGTAGTCGTAAGCCTAAAAATTGGGTCGACTGCTTAGCGATGGTCATAAAATATAAAAGAAAATATATATAGAATGCATTATTTTCTATATATAGATGTGAAAATTGTAATATATGTAATATACGCCACAGATTAATTAATGTAGAGTTTTAAAAATTACATTTGAGTAAAAACTAAACATTTTCATCTTGTTAAAGATATTTTCCACTCTATTACCATAATTATTGTATTAAATTATTTGAATTGACCAAAATGGGCTTCATGGATGGTCAATTTTTAGATAAATTGGTCATTTTAAAAATTGTCATAATTTTGCTGCAATCGAAGAAAATGAAGCTTTGATAATGTAAGGGCGTTTTGCTACCTTTCCCTTCTGTTAGTAGCATAACTGTTTTCAATTTATTATTCTTATGTTGAAATATAATAAGATCATATTACCCTTTTTAGTTTCGTATTAACCTTTCCTTTTTCCAATTGAACCTGTCCAGGTAAATTGACTTTCAGTTTTTACTTTTCCCTCTGTTATTCTTCCACTCTGTTACCATGTTCGTGGTAACTTTATTCACTGACTCTTAATTCAGTATTTTATCACATATTAAGTTTATTAAAAGCAATGATGACAGTTATTGAACTATATGAAATAAAACCGTCATAACTTCTGAACGGTGTTAAGTTCAAATTTCGTGGTTGGCCGCTGGACACGATAGAAATTAGCATGCGCTTTCGAATGCAACTTGTTATTGACCATTTGAAACTGAAAATGTCACGGTGCCTGATTGTATATCGCTTGTAAAGGTTTACTATGCAAGCGATAACAGCTCAATTGCGGCACAGAGGAAGTTTGCGACAAGCTGTAGACAACCGGTTCAAGTATGCTAACAATCAAGTATTTGATTCGAAAGTTTGAGAGAGCTGGTAGTATTAGTGATGACAGTATGAGCAATGGCGATCAACAAACAAGTGTGAAAACATCGAGAAGACATGCGCGGTGTTTCAAACCTTCGCAAAGAAATCGATCAGACGAGCTGCAAATCAACTGGGAGACCTTGCGGCAGATAGTTGTTAAAAGCTCGCATCTCTTGCCATACAAAATTCTAACCCATCAGCCTCTAAGCCTCGGAACAGCGTTGTGTTTCGCCAATATTATTGGTGAAAAAATTGACGACAGGGAATTTAATGTGAATATGGTTTTATTTTAGCGACGAAGCCGACTTCCCATTTGGATGGTTTCGTCAAAATGGCACATTCGGGGCAGGGCTAAAGATAATAGACGGGCTAGTTCACTCCGCTCTTAGAGCTGAAGCTACGATTTACCTCCTCATGACGTCACCGTGTCCACAGATCTCGGAGATCGCAAGCAAAGATATTATGATAACTTTGCATCTTTCTCTTTGTAAAAATAAGTTAGACTTTTTCTGGTTATTAGCTTTCAAACTTTACGTAATTAACACATTATTTCCGTTCATAAACATAGTTCAAAANTGTGCTAGCAATCAAGAATTTGATTCGAAAGTTTGAGAGAGCTGGTAGCATTAGTGATGACAGTATGAGCAATGCCGATCAACAAACAAGTGTGAAAACGTCGAGAAGACATGCGCGGTGTTTCAAACCATCCCAAGGAAATCGATCAGACGAGCTGCAAATCAACTGGGAGACCTTGCGGCAGATTGTTGTTGAAAACCTGCATCTCTTTCGATACAAAAATCAAACCCATCAGCCTCGTGGCCTTGGAACAGCGTTGTGTTTCGCCAATACTATTGGTGAAAAAATTGACGAAAGGGAATTTAATGTGAATATGGTTTTACTTTAGCGCCGAAGCCGATTTCACATTTGGATGGTTTCGTCAATATGCAAAATTGGCACATTCGGGGGACTGAGAATCCGCATTTCGCGATCGAGAAGTCTCTCCACCCTCAACGGATGATTGTGTGGTGTGCAATGTCAAGTCACTGGATAATCGGTGAGATATTCGTTGACCGCACGATTACTACTGAATGATACTTGAAGGTTTTAGAAAATGATTTTACCTCATTATCCAAAGTGAGCATTCGTCAAGATGAAGTTCACGCAAGACGAAACTTGACCCCATTAGACCAAGAGAGTGTTTGATGTGCTAAAGGAGTACATTAGGGACAGCATTCTGGCTCCGGGGTACCCCGCGACCACGGAATGGGACTCGCTTAACCGCCATATTCTCCTGTTTTGAACACACGTGATTCCTATTTGTGGGGCTATATTAAAGATAATGTGTACGAAAATCATAACCAATGTATATCCAAAACCATTGCTGAGCTGAAAACAGCCATTTCGGAAATCGAATTAATGTTCCGACACTTCAGTCGGTTATGCAGAACTTTGCCATTCGCCATCATAGCCAATTATGGCAGGCATATCGAATAGTATAAATTAAAATCAGTAACAAATCTTTATACCATGGATGATGCATCATATTTTCAAACTATCCTATATAAATTCTCTCAAATTAAAAAGGAATACTTAAAGCTAACTATGAAAGCGAACATGAAGTGGGTTCGAATGCCGCTATAACATTCGATGCAGATTCCCGTGGTCTCTAGTAAAATCATGCAATCTTTTTTTTCTGTCATTTGTATTTACAAAGAAACTCTTATATGTGTACATAACTCACATATGTACATTTATTTATGTTCGTGTGAACTGACATATGTACATAAATAAATCCCACTACCTCATAAAGCAGTCACCATACTATGATATATCCGAATTTAGTTTCTTTAATTAAATATTTGAAGCCATTATTCTCGTTTCTATAATCCTTGATAAAAATTATGTTAGAAAAAAGAAATAATTAACAGTCATCTAACTCCTATCATCAATGTAAATAAACTGTCATTTTAAATAAACCGTAAAAGTGTAAATAAATTATTACCCTTCTACATTTGGTCAGAGGCAAAGACATCAAAAGGTTAAAATGACTAAATAAATGGTAAAAATGGCATGAAAATAATTTATTTTGTTGTATTTACATTTTGAAACTTGCATTTGAAACTAAATCTATTGTAATAAGAATTATAAATTTGAAAAGCAGGTAGGTACTTAATTTACGTCGTACTAGAGCTGCACAGTTATCTTAACTTTTGGCTAATATTTTATTTTTATATGTGATACTTTTATCTCATAATTTCTTAACGACGTTTGTAAAGGTAGGGAAAGGAAATGACAGACGCTGTAGAATTGATATCCGTTTAATTTTGTGCATTTTAAAGTCTTTATTCAGCTGCAAATAAAAATTCTAAACTCTTCATTTCCACATTATGGAACAGCATTTTATAAAAAGGTTTATCATTTCTAGCTCATAATATGAAAATGCTATTAAGATATCAGTGAATTTCATGTTGCATTTCTAAAAGGATAAAGATGATAAACTTAAATACTATTTAGTATTTTTACGATTTTTTACGTTAAATCAAGTGATTAATATTATAGAATTTCATGCATAAAAGTAAAGTTTTTTTTATTTATACATATTTACCGTATCTACGATGCTAACTAGGCAAGTGAGATATCGTTATTTTTTATAGTTAAAAAACATTATATTTATTTTAACATATATGTATATATTATATTTTTGAATTATATTATATATACAATATATTTTCGTTTGTAATAAGAGCATCAGAAAAAAATATGCGAAAAAGATACCGTTGTCCCATCTACACAAAAAGTTAAAACAATGATTATATAGAACATTCTGTATGAACGTAAATAATAAATAAAAAAATCCAGGTAACCAATAATGTGTAAACCAGAGGTTTTAAACCATTAAGCCCCAACCCGATTTTGCAGAAATCCGTCTAGACATTGTAGACTAGTATATAAACTCTCCACTAATAACACACTCGTATATCGCAACTTTCTAACAGTAGTGTGTACATGACAACGTAATCTAGTTCAATTCACAATGACTTTTAAGAATAACATCCTTCATTACTTCATGTCCAATAATAGGGTTAGAAGTAATCAACTCTTTCCACTCCTTTTTAGATACTAATTCTCGAAAATGAATGACAGCATATTGTTTCGATGTTTTTTTCAGTTCTTCGTCACCATAAGCATAAGCAAGCTTTAAAACTTCACACACTTGATCGAAACTCAGATACGAAGCAATGAGATAGGAACAATCCGTTTTTAAAGTTCGAACCTCATACTTGATAGATAAAACATAAAGGTCTTTTACTGAGGGCCAG